CTTAATAAGGAATCGTTCAAGACACTGTACACTGTGTATGTTAGGCCCATACTGGAGTATGCAGCACCAGTCTGGAACCCACACCTGGTCAAGCACGTCAGGAAGTTAGAGAAAGTACAAAGGTTTGCAACAAGGCTAGTCCCAGAGCTCAAGGGAATGTCGTACGAGGAAAGGTTAAGGGAAATCGGACTGACGACACTGGAGGACAGAAGGGTCAGGGGAGACATGATAACGACATACAAGATACTGCGGGGAATAGACAAGGTGGACAGAGATAGGATGTTCCAGAGAGGGGACACAGGGACAAGGGGTCACAACTGGAAGCTGAAGACTCAGACGAGTCACAGGGACGTTAGGAAGTATTTCTTCAGTCATAGAGTTGTCAGCAAGTGGAATAGCCTAGCAAGTGAAGTAGTGGAGGCAGGAACCATACATAGTTTTAAGAAGAGGTATGACAAAGCTCAGGAAGCAGAGAGAGAGAGAGAGGACCCAGTAGCGATCAGTGAAGAGGCGGGGCCAGGAGCTGAGTCTCGACCCCTGCAACCACAATTAGGTGAGTACAATTAGGTGAGTACACTTAGCAGCTGTCAGTGTATATATCTTGAAGCTGTCAAGTTTAAGATGGATAATTGAAATAAGTCATTTTGTCTGACTTTTTGGGGGTTATCTTAGTTTCTCTACACATATGCTGCTATGTATGATAATCTATGTAACTGTTTGCGTATACCTGAAAATATTTACTTATTAATCAGAGGAAGGTTAGTAACCCAGGATAAGAAAAAGTCTGGCTTGGTCAGAATTACTTGGTGGAGCAACCCTTGAATCTTGTCACAGGTATGTTATTGTGTTGCAGGATCAGTCCCGAGGAACTGCAGTACATTCAAGAGCACCTGGAGGAAAATGAGAGTCAGGCCACACCTGCGTCACACCAGGCCACACCTCCTGCATCAGTACCATGGCGAGAGATGGCCACCAGCTGGCCAGTTTGGGCCATACTCATCTGTGATGCTGGCAATTCTTTTGGCTTCAGCGTATACTTTTCTCATATTCCCACATACATCCAGAATATCCTTGGCTTCTCTATAAAACAGGTGAGATCACATAACCATTTCTTTACATAATATTCTCATAAAAGAAAGTCTCAATACCATGGCTGGGACATTCCACACTGTCCACACACCTCTGTCCATTTTGTTTGGTCTCGGACTTTCACAGAGCTACAGTACACTCGTAATACAGGAATTCCTATTCCTAAATCAGAGATGGTTTGATCTAAGGAATATTCTTCTCCAGACACTCCAGTACTCTTTTCCTTATAATCTTCCCTGGTAATTTTGATAAATTACGTGTTAATGACAATACCTGTAACTCAGTACCTTTTTCACCCCCTCCCCCTCATGTTATATACCGGACAACCACATGCTTTCTGACAGCTGCCCTCATTCAAGACTCTGGTTGAAGACCTGTGCCACTGTCACATAGCGGTACTACTCTCAGCACCCAAGAGGGTATGTTGCCTAGTCCCAGTGTTTATGTTACATCAAACTATTGTAGTAGTTTCATTGCCTCTTTTGTTGTCTTTATGTTTTCCAACATTTGTTAATCTATTCTTCTACTGTGCTTTTAGGTAGCTCTTCGTTTTCTTCAGTGAAGATCTCTTTGAATCTTCTGGCGAGCTTATCGCATAATTCTCTGTTATCCCCCGTCATCACCTGGTCCTTTGTAGTTCATATCTTTCTCGTAATAACACGACAGCTGGAACCCATGGCAGGGGTCTTAAAATTCCTTAATGGCTGGCTCTAATAGGATTCATCCAACCACCACTAACCACAAATGTACTTTACAGCGGAATCCAAAACCAGCATGGCTTTGGCGTGCTCTAGTTCTGGTCTTTCCAGTGTAACAGTCGAAAAATATTGCAATGTAATATTTTTCGGCTGATTTCGTAACAATGCCAACTAATTACTAACGTTCATAATTAAATAAGTAGTTCATTACATGCCTAGCTAATAATGTCTTCCATTGTTTGCTTAAACAATGGATTCAGTAGTTGGACTTATTATGTGCCTCTAATACTAACACTTGTTACAAGATGGTTATTAAGTATAAACGTGAAGACAAAGAATGGTAATTTGACTCCAATATCATTACTGGTAAGCAGGTTAAATACAAAATAATGAAACAATTTTCCTATATTCCTGGTAGATCACCTTACCTGCTCAGGAGAAGAGTAGAGGTGAAGTAATTTCCTTAACTTCAACCCACACCAGGTAAAGTTAATACTGCCAGAAGTAGAAACTAAAAGGAACTGAGACCCGAAGAAATCTGGAGTTATACAGCGGCCCGCTAGATGGCAGTGCGGGTGGGGACACAGTTCCTCGGAGTCTGAACTACCATAAGCTAATTTTCGCAATTTTTCCCTCACATTACCCTTACCAATCTGACAGGTGGTTGTCCGAGCCAGCTTTATATACAACCTGAAATTTATTAGAACATAAGAACATAAGAAGGAATTCTGCAACAGGCCTACTGGCCTATGCAAGGCAGGTCAAATTCTCCCATTGGCTTAAGCTCGCTGACCTAGTGACCTTAAGCTCACTGACCATCTGACCTCACTGACCTAGTGAGGTCAGACACGTCACTTATGGGAGGAGCAGTGCATCCGACCTAGTCGCACAAGCTAGTCAGGTCCAACTCACACCCACTCATGTATTTATCCAACCTATTTTTAAAATTACACAACGTCTTCTTTGCTTTTCAGATAGATCACTGTTGATGTTGACGTTTGTGTTACTCGTTGGAGAATCACCAGTTAAAATATCAAGAAGTTCCTTCGACTCTGTGTAAGATTCGTTATCTGTAACACAGACTTTACATTCATAAGAATCAAGACTGTTAATTAAACTGAAAGATATAGTAACTTCATCAAAGAAGTTTAAACAAACAATAACTTCTCTACGATGGTACAACTTCAAAATGTTGACATGATACATCTTTTCTGACCCTTGACATCCAAGACATAATCTAACTTAATACAGACCTTTACTACTTTATACGGTCCGCGTCAGGAAATTAACGATTTGTTAGATTTGTGGTAAAGGAACCAAAATTTCAGAAATATTAAATTTACGTTTAGAGCTCCTTAGGTCAAAATAGGTCTTTTATGTTTTCATAGATATATATATTCAGGTTCTTGACAACCAACTCAGTGGTTTCTTCTAAACTTTCTCTAAAATCTCAAAAAAAAAAAAAATTGAGAGGTGTTTTGAACATCAAGTTTAATAACTTTGGACCACAGTTCATTCAATATAAATAGAGGCCCAGGAGCTTGTCTTCATAGAGTAATTCAAAGGGAAATATCCAAACGAATCACTTGGGATTCCACGCAGAGCACAGAGAGCGCATGGCACATACCTGTGCCAGTCAGCTGGTCTAGGGAAAGATAGTTTCTTTAATATTGACTTTAAGATGGCATGTTGTCTTTCCACTCTTCCATGACAATTTCGATGGTAAAGTGTCGTGTAAAGATGTTGAACACCTGGAAGATGATGAAGTTGGTCCATTAGTTAAGAAGTTAAATTTTATTCTTTGATCTGGATATTCCTATTCTTTTTCTCTGAATATTCCTACCCGGGAAAAAAATATATAGTCATGCTTCTGAAACTTCTGGTGACGTAATGGATTTCAAGGGCACCGCCTCTGGGAAACTAGACGCTTAGTCATTCACAGTCAAGATATATTCATGACCTCTTGATGAGCGAGGAGTGACAGGACCAACTATATCCACTACAACTAGCAATTGGGACTGAAAAGACCGGCATTTTGTGACAAGATCTACAATACTTATGTTACAAAAAACGCGATTTCTAATAAGCATAGAGATCTCCAGTGAATACTAGAAAGGACTGCCCTTCTAACATTCAGCCTGTTACTGGGTTTTCGTAACAAGTAGTCAGTATCCTTGTCCAATTATCCATTAGAATTCAATAATAATTATTAGTGCTTCAAGATTGCAACTGGTAGGTAACTAACTAAAGAAATTAAAATTTAATAAATTTATTAACAATCAAGATGTCTAGGAGTATATTATCAAATTAAATTAATTTAATGAACATAATCAAAATAATCACTTCTCTTGTGTACAGTAGTATTGTGCTGAAGGCACATATCACATCTTTATATCTTAAGTACCGTCTGGTACATAAACATTTAATGAGATATCACAAATATGTACAAGCAAGTTTGTGTGTATGTGTGTAAGAGATCTAAGTAGTTCGCTATGTCTCAAGACTCGACTAGACTTAAACCAGTGACTGACAAAGTCCTTACATCAACTAACTTCTTGGCCACCTCACAATCAGAATAGCTTGCTTGAACAATAAAACGACTGCTAAGCCCAATAGCAATATAACAAGCAACTGTGACACAGAATCAGGATCAAGGAGATAATATAAAGACACTAAGTAGGGACCATCTGCAGATCCTCCACAAAAGTCACAAAACTCCCATACTACTGAATCTAAGTTCAGCATAAGAAAATCCCCGACTGTGACAGTACACAGATAACAGTACAAATTAGGTCAGAAGCTACAGCTCAGGACCTGAGTTGCTCAGAGTGTCTATGCGACATACAACCTCAGTACAACGTCGAAAATCACTAAGTCTAGACAATGTTCTGTGAACAGAGTTCCACAGAACTAACAACAAGAAAGCGACAGAGACGATCTTCCAACAAGGATCAATAAGGGAGAGTTAGGCACGTCTTGTCAGGAATACGTCCAACCACCAAGAGAGTCTAGCCCAGACTGACTACTTCAGGCGAGATGTGAACACCCCCCTCAATCACGTGATTGCTCCATGGACAGTTGCTGCCCAACAACACCGAGAAGCCGGCAGAATAACGAGCCACGAGTGATAATTACAGTAGTTAGACAATCAAGACTTGAACTATGAGCACATTATAAAAATATATGAATGTTACATCCTACCTAGCAATATAACTAAGTCAAATAATAATATAAAGCAATATATTTACGATTTAGCTATTATCGCAAATATAAGCAATATAAAATTATATGAAAAGGTAATATACATTATATACATTATGACCCATTCAGGGGTTGCAACATTATAGATGTCAGAAGACATCCTAGACCAGAAGTATAAGTCCTTGATATTCTCATAGGACTTCCTATGTGAAACATGGCCAGAGACTGCCAGGTCATGAGAAATATTAAAAATAGTCTCCTGGCAATCCTTAGGAATTACTAACAGACTTCTACCCACATCATTTGAATTTTCTGCAAACATTATATTCTCGAACAGAAGGTTTTCTTTATATACAAATTTAAAAGAAAATTTCCTTCCTTAGAAGTCCAAGTGTTTTAAAGACCCTCTAAACCTATGTGAGACAGCTCAATAGGCGCTTATTTGGAAAGAACCAACAGATGGATAGGTTTTACCTTAGACTGTGCTCCATTAAGGACGTTAATTGGATCTTCTTGAATAGATTCAGTAACTCGTGCTTCTTCGTGTCTGTGCCATCCGGATTTAAGGAATGAATTGCGAAGGGTTTTCCAGCGCCTTTGTTAACATCAACACTCTGATTCAAGTTATCAGTCCGACTCACTTCTGGTACTGTAGTGGAAGAAACCAAAGAGTTAGGACGGTGAGGGTCCAAATTTCTCTTAGAAGTGCTTGAAAATTCCTAACAATGTCCTTCAGAAAGTAAAGTAGCACCTTCAATGTTCCCCGTCATAACACATCACGAAGTTATTGGGGCAACCATTGCATCTACCCAACCTGTCAACCACTTGCGTCTTACGAAACATTTGATGGTAGGAAAGGAATCATTTTGTCCTAAGTAATCAGTTAATTTAGTAGTTTTACAGTGACGGATCTAAATTACGGAAAAATCTTACTAGAGACAATACAGGAGCATCCAGTATCTCTAAGAATTGTTGAAACATTCATTCCGTTAACACAGCCTTCAGTAAAAGGTGCGTTAATATTAACTACGGTAACACATTTTCCGATATTCTGGCCTTTCATTTTGGAACATTCTTGATGTCTATGTCCAAATTCATTACAGTTGAAACATTTTATCGTGAAGGCAGTGCAATTGTTAGGGACAGAGGTGTTGGGCCCCTCTGCTTATGGACTACAAATTTATATCTGCTACGCTCCTTAGGGTAGTTATTATGCGCAAAAGAATATATATCTGCAGCTTGAGTAATTTCTGAAGCTGTTTGAACATTGCGGGATTTTTTTATCAATATTCTTAGATCAGAGGTTACAGAAGAGAGAAACTGATATCTTACCATAAGGTCTCTTATCGAGTCGAAGTCTCGAAGTCTCGAAGTCGAAGTCTCCATGAATCAAAAAATCTGAAAGCATTTCTTAAGAACTGCATGTAATTTTGATTTGGAGTTACCTTAGTATGACGGAACTCCGACCTGTAATGATGGGTGATTTCTTGGAAGATATAAGTATAACTCCCTTTAGAAAACTATAATTAGTTATTACATCAGAAGGTAAATTAGAATAAACATTTAAAGCTGAACCAGACAAAAGTATGGCAAATCTAGTAGCCCAAGAATCTAACGGCCACTCACATAGAGTGGCAGTGTTCTCGAATCTTGTGATATATGCAGATTTGTCATCCTGTTACGCGAAAGGTGATATTTTAGGCATTCTAGGGTAGGGTACTCTATTACCCCTTTCCTGTTTAGAGTGTTCTAACTTCTTGGTTTCTAACTCTAATTTCAGCTGTTCCAGATCTCTCTGCTTAGCTTCTTCTTCAATTTCTTTAAGTTTGAATGCTACCTCTCTTGTCTGAACGCTATCTTCCCTACCTATCCTTTCCTGTTTCCTTTTCACCTCCCGAGTTATTCTTTCTTGCTCTTATTTCCCTACGCGAGCTACTCTTTCCTGCTTTTTTTTCCTCTATAGTTTTCTCAGAAGTAATATAGCTGTCCAGCTAATGTCCAGTAAATCCCATCTCTTTTCCAGCTCTTAACCACAAATCCAAAGAATTCATGTCGAGAAAATAAATATAAAAATAAAATACTGCCAGTCTGTGCTAAGACAAACTAATGGTTGAAATATCATGTTCAAAAGAGGAACACAGTGTCATGCACTTAATAAATCTTCTCACAGGAGATGAACAAAATTTTCCTTCTTGGAAGAACACAGTTGTGGGTTCAACAACCTTCGCAAAGTTTAAATACACATGGTTCACACAATGGTAGACACCTAAAGCGAACCCTGGAACTAACAACAGTAAGTCTAACAAGACTACCAGTAACGACTTGACACCAATTCCATATTATTATAATCAAAAAGAAGCGCTAAGCCACAAGGGCTATACAGCGACCAATTCCATAGGAAATGACGATAATCAACTCGCCCTTTACTTTTACAGGCAACTGAACCTTCAGGAAGATGATGAATCGAGAGTCGATCCTGGCAAGGTCGCCATTGTCAGGGAAGCTCCTCCCACCTGATCACAATTGTGGAAAAAGAAATGATGAATAACTTCGGGGAAAAAATAAAAGTGGAAAAATTAAAAAGTATTAAATTAAATATCATAAAAAAGGCTGCCGTTGGTCCAATGGATCTTGAGACATGAGACCTTTCTTAGTCCAGGATGTCTCCTTAAAATGTAATGAAGATAGTATGTTAGTTATCCTGAGTAGGCGGTAATAGTCTGATTTTTCATAGATGACGAAGCTCCTGTCAATATTGGTTCACAGTATCTCATTCCAGATATCAAAGAAGAGACGAGGAGTCTCTATGGCCCACTAAGTTCCATCGTCTGGGATCTAGACATCAACGTCTACTGTGAATGACCATTCCAGCAGCAAAACTGATAATGAAAAACACTGGTTACAAGATGGTTATTAGGTATAACAATGAAGAAAGACATAGGGTGTAACTGTACTCCAATGTTATTACTGTTAACCAAATTAAATACAAAAAATTAAACAATATTCCTGGTAGATCACCTTACCTGACCAGGAGAATTATTATTATTATTATTATTATTATAAAAAAGAAGCGCTAAGCCACAATGGCTATACAGCTGATTAGGAGAAGAATAGAGGTGAAGCGATTTCCCCAAACTTCCAGCCAGACTAGGAAAAGTTAATACTACCAGGAGTAGAAACTAAACAGCTCAGACCCCGACGAATTTTGGAGTTTCGCAGCGGCCCGCTAGATGGCAGTGCGAGCAGTGACACATTGTAACAGTCTCTCCAAGTCTGAACTATTATAAGCCCAATTTACTGACTTTTCCCTCACGGTGCTCAGTACATATGAAGATTCATTTGATGCCTGACATCCAATTTTACAGCATTAGCAGTTCCAACTCGAGTGCATCCCTATTATACTGGAAAAAAATGTGTAATTGGTGAAATATGTATTAATATTTGATTCATACTTGCAGAACGGTGTATTGTCTGCTCTGCCGTTCCTGTGTCGTTACCTGGGTGCCATTATCTCTGCCACAGTGGCAGACATGGTGATGGCGCGGGGACTACTCTCTGTCCTCTCTGTACGCAGAGTCTTCAGCACTATTGGTCAGTTGAATTTAGAGGCGAAAATCTGTTATGCTACCTCATCTGATTGCAAAGTCCATCTCTGTCTAAGGAATGGGATCCATAACTGTAGGCTAGCACCCAGATACCTACTTATAGATTGGTGAACAGGGGCAGCAAGAGTATGTAAACATGGTCAAAGTATCGACTCGTCCTGGTATCAAACTGGGGTCCTTCAGTTGTGATTGTCTTGATTAGAGGTATTTTACTGCAAGTGACTACTAATTAATCGAATCATCAATCAGATCATTAATTAAATTCAATCCAAGTACCCGCCATTCCATGCTCAGATATCATAGAATTTACCTTAACAGATAGAACAGTAATTACCGGGGTATCGATGGTATCTCGGCGCTTCTATACCAGGGAAGATACCAGGCTAATGGTGTTGCTAACATTACTGATACCTGACAATACCCGTTTTCAGTACTTAATAATGAGAACCTACCTTGTGGAGTCTCCTGGGATAACTAGTTACAACTCCTAGAATTACTAAGAAATACTGATTATGAAACACAAAAATACACCTGGAATATTAAGGTGAGGCGAGATACGTCTCTCTCTTTCCTTGACATTTGTGTGACTGACTCCACAAGGTCAGTCACACAACTATGGTCTATAAGTATGTCTGGCTCTCAAGCATGCCATAGTTATAGGCTTATAGCTAAATTGTACATACTAAGCTATTCAACCTGTATCCCTAGTGTAGTCCATGCTTTTATACTCTAGACAGGATATTAGCTCATAATGCTCTTAGAACCTAATCAGCCTTACAATTGAGGTTGTCAAGACGAACTGTTGCAACGTGACCACGCTGCAACACTCCCCCCTTACTGATCCTCTCTCCTTAATCGCTGTCTCGCACACTAAAGTCCGTTTCACTCATGGAAATTCACTTGATTTTCCACAGTAGTCGATGAATGTGACCAAGTTTTAAATTAGATATCAATATTTTATTAAAAATTCATTTTTCAATTATGTCTTTAATGTAAGGTTATTTTCTATTTTTCTAAGATTATTTACTGAACAATTTTTTAAACCTCAGATATCTTCTGTGTTTTCACGAAATTATCAATGAGTCGTTTGTCACTGTCAGACCTTCGTTATTCTCAGGCTGGTACCCCAGAAACCTGTCATAGTTTATCATAACAAAACAGTGGTGCTTCCCTCACAACAACTGGGTGGTACATCTCTCTACTCTTTAAATATATGCATTAATATTGCAAGAAACATCATGTATGTTGCAGCAATGATGGGACCAGCAGTGAACTTACTGGCAGTGGCTCACTCTGGGTGTGACCCGTCCACTGCCATAGCTCTGCTCTGTGTGGGTTTCTTCCTTAATGGCTTCATCACTACTGGCTTGTTTTCTAACCGTGTAGACATTACAACCAACTTCTGTGGTAAGCAAAATAGACAGTAATAGGTTATTATCTTTTTATAAATATTATTTTTGTTATTAGGCTGTATCCCTCTTGGTCGGATACCTTATTGAGTCTGTATTGCTATTTTTCGTAATTCTGTTTTCAGATGATAACTAAAAATCGCCTTGAACAGTTACACTCACACGTGAAGTACCTACGACTTGGCATGATAAAACATATAAATATTGTGTTGCAGGTATAACGCCCTCGGTGGCTGCTTTAGTAACTACATTACACAAATAACCAGCATAAATAATGGTCCAAGTCGGACGACGTTTCGTTCCAACTTGGACCACTAACTAGTCACATACAAGAAGAAGGGAGTCAGTATATATTGGAGAGGAGGACAGGGAAGGGAGCAGTAGAACGAAATGAGGAAGTGTAATTATAGAAGTGGTAGTAGTAATATAAGTAGTGCAACAGGAGAATAGTGGTAGTGACACAAGAGTCAGAAAGTGGAGTGTTAGTAATAGTAGAAGCAGTAGTAGTAGAAGCAGTAATAGTAGAAGCAGTAGTAGTAGAAGCAGCAGTAGTAGTAGTAGAAGCAGCAGTAGTAGTAATAGAAGCAGCAGTAGTGGTAGTCTAAAAACAAAAGAAGAAAAGGATACTGCAGGAGAGTAAAGACCCACGAGGGTAGGACAAAACCCCAGGTATAAGACTCATAGGTCAGAACCCACCAAGGTAGGAGAAAGGAAAGACAAAGAAAATATAATAAAGTAGAAGAGGTAAGATGAGGAGGAGATAAAGATCTGGTCAAGTCACAAGTGTTCTGAAGTTTTGAGAATTTGACAATGTAATGAGAATAGAAGACATACAGAGACAAATCGAGAACCATGATTCATTTTAAAACAGTTGTGTATAAGGGATGTTTCAACAAGATGATGTCTGTGAAGGTTAGAAGATGGTTGGCAGTTTTAGCAGAGGACCAGTCAATAGGATGACTGGGATCTCTAACATGACAGAAAAGAGTATTATTAGCGTCGGCAAGTCTAACGCCTCTTTTGTACTCTTTAAGTATGTCAGAAAGAGAGAGGCCAGTTTCTCTAAGGTATTGGAGAGGACAAGAGGAACAGGAAATTGAGTAGAATCCAGAAGCATCAATAGCAGGAGAGGTATGAACTAGATTACTACGAAGGTTATTTAGGTGAAAAGTTAGTTTGGTGTCTAAGGAATGGAATGAGTTGTTAATTAAGATTTAGGAGACAGGAAATATACGGAAGGCAAAAAACAAGAGATTTCACATATAAGTTACACATCTACAGCACAGCTGCTACACATGGCTTCTTTCGAGATGAAGAGAACAAGAGGATATTCAAGTATACAACTGAGTACTCAGATGAGGAAATGAGTGCAGCTCAGGCGAAGAAGCTGCGAGACCACTCCCTGGACTCTGACCAGGGCATACCTGGACTCTGACCAGGGCATACCTGGACTCTGACCAGGGCATACCTGGACTCTGACCAGGCATACCTGGATGGATCAAGGTATGCCCATCTGAGCCACAGAAATACTGGAATGGGAAGGCTGGCAGTAGTACGATCCCTGAAGTACAAGAAAAGACAGTGTTTACTTGCCTCAGATCGAGCAAGTCAAACCATTCACAGGCAACAAATTCAGGATGTTCAATAAAGGATACACCGACACCCTGTTTGCTATAATAATGCACCTCGAGAGGAAATACACTCCCAAAAACAGTCTTATTAGGTATTGCAGAAGATGAATGCCTTCGAATCATGACTTGTTCTCACAGAGCTAAAATCCATAGAGCGAGTTACACTACACACTAGACATGCCTCTCTATGCAGACCACAGTAAACAAAATATTCTGAAAGCTGAGAGGCTGCGATCCAAGAAGGACGGCTACATATCTATGAGGCAGATCTTGATCCAACATATAGGACCTCTTCTAGCTCAACCAGGTCTCAGCTGCTGGGAAAAATACCAGGTTAGTATTTACAACCAAGAAGCTTTGACGTGTTTCAGGTGCCAGAAGTACAATCACCTCATCTCCCGATGTAAATTTAAGAAAAAGTGCAACATCTGAAACCGGTTTCACCCAACCAAGGACTGCCTGGGTAAACGTAAGAGGGGTGAGGCTACGGAACCTCGGAGTCAGAACTACGACAAGAGGCATCAAGGCTTGAACCTGCACTGCCCGTAGAGGTTCCTCCGCGTCAGGGAAGCGTGGAAAACGCCAGTTGTTGAGCTTCCAACATTAAGTAGAGCCTTCATCACTGAGCAGAAGCTTCCTGCAGAGGAGGCTACGGTATCACGGAACCCAGGGCCACTTCCTTGGCCACACCGACTGAGGTAACTGAAGAAGCAAAAACGAAGAGGTCATGCCTTTGCTCAGCCGGTTCCCTATACTTCTCAGATTCCCACCCCACAGCATCAGCCAAGAGGCCCCATGTTGCAGGAACAGAGTACCACCAACACGTCTACCCTAACACTACAACAGCCATCAGTGAAACGCTCTGTAGCTCAAGGGAACAGAACAAGCCATACCGTATTACCTCTAAGACATCAGATGATGTCGACAATCAGTCCATCACCAAAGTCATACGCGACCTGATAAACTCGGTAGAAAACAGAAATATTCAGAATTGTTACGAAAATCTTGAATACACATATGCATGGTGGACAAAACAGAGTCCATTCTTTTATTTGCAAGTGTAACAAACCACCCAATACATGGTCCAGAGACAGTAATTGGTCTGAAGGTCACGGCTACACTGCAGTGTATAATTTGTTTTTGCAGTGGAAAGCATAGGGACTGCAGTAAGACCCTAATCATGGCCAGAGAACAGCTTCTGAATTAGATCGGCATCTACTCCACAGGTAATGGCGCAGTAGCTATCAACCTCAGAATACCAGAAACACAATGGAGATCCTCGGACGAGTCATCTCAGGATTAAAGTGTGTCGTGACGCCGTTCCTGAAGAATTAATCAATAAATCAATCAACTTGGCGCTTCTCTGTGACTAGTTAGTAGTCGACATAAGCTTTATTCTCTTACGTGCGAGTTATTTGTGTATTGTTCCAGTCACGGTATTGTGCCTTTTTATTCTTTAGAACAACATTCTTGTTAAGGAAACTTAGCTTATGCACAGTACATTCATCATAATTATATCTTCAATTGTGTTACATTTTGTACACACACACACACATAGACACACACATACACACACACACACACACACACACACACACACACACACACAAACACACACACACACACACACACACACACACACACACGGAGTACAGTCTAGGGGGTCAGAGACTACAAACCTCACTCAAGGAAAAAGATCTTGGGGTGAGTATAACACCAGGCACATCTCCTGCTGCAGCATATGGGCGCCTAGCAAACCTCAGAACAGCATTCCGACATCTTAATAAGGAATCATTCAGGACCCTGTACACCGTGTACGTTAGGCCCATATTGGAGTATGCGGCACCAGTTTGGAACCCACACCTAGCCAAGCACGTGAAGAAACTAGAGAAAGTGCAAAGGTTTGCAACAAGACTAGTCCCAGAGCTAAGAGGTATGTCCTACGAGGAGAGGTTAAGGGAAATCAACCTGACGACACTGGAGGACAGGAGAGATAGGGGGGACATGATAACGACATACAAAATACTGAGAGGAATTGACAAGGTGGACAAAGACAGGATGTTCCAGAGATTGGACACAGTAACAAGGGGACACAGTTGGAAGCTGAAGACACAGATGAATCACAGGGATGTTAGGAAGTATTTCTTCAGCCACAGAGTAGTCAGTAAGTGGAATAGTTTGGGAAGCGATGTAGTGGAGGCAGGATCCATACATAGCTTTAAGCAGAGGTATGATAAAGCTCACGGCTCAGGGAGAGTGACCTAGTAGCGATCAGTGAAGAGGCGGGGCCAGGAGCTCGGACTCGACCCCCGCAACCTCAACTAGGTGAGTACACACACACGGACATGGCACTGGAAGCATGTACACCCCTATTAAACGAAAAGTTTTTCCTTCTAGTTCTCTTTCCTACTGTACTTCATGCAAGAATCTCCTTATGCCTATGTAGTCCCCTGTTTTGAAGTTTGGTTCTCCCGTCATTCTCGTGTTGCTGCATTCTCCACTGTTAGCTCTACAAGGTATTCAAAACTCAGGACATCGTGATCACAAGCGCAAAGGGGTTTTTCGTGTGTGATATCCTGTATGTCTGAACTGTTCAAGGCGAATATGAAATCCAGCCTTGCTGCCACATCCTTAACTCTCTCTCTCTGGTTGTATCCCTAAAATGTTGGTGCATGAAGGTTTCTAATACTGGTCTCCCATGTGGCTCATCACATCTGTCAGACACTGCAACATTATGGGATCTTTGGTACAAAGACTTCAACGCTTGCCCAACCTTTGGAAGACGACCTACTTACACTAGTGGCAGGTCCCACTGTGATCCCGCCTCCTCCTGCTTCAGCTCATCTGATTGCAGTATATAATCCACCTCTCTGGTCCTATGCTGCACTTCCTACAAGAGTGATGGACTGAACACATCGATTCCAGGTTTAGGGACTGATTTCCTCGAACTTCTCCTTCTTACCCATTTCCACTTTGTATTGGACTGATGAAGCCACTGTGTGGCGAAACGTTTCTTCAGTAAAGATTCCCATGCGTTGCATAAGTGTCTCAATTCTTCAACTTGTCGGTTTTCTAAACCATTCATCACACACACACACATGATTGAAATCTTCCATAATGGGTAATTTTGTCCTACCCATACGAGCCCTTCTGGCTACTTCAGCTAGTGTATCCACTATTGCTCTGTTACATTAATCTTACTCTTATCGTGGTCTCCTGCTGTTCAGTGGTGGGTTACACATCATTGCTATCATCATCTTTGGACCTCCAGTCTGAAGTGCTCCTACAGTGAATTCAACTGCTTCCCCTCTGTCCATTCCTCCCATATCCACAAAAATCCTCTAGTTTTTGATGAGCAGTGCCACTC